CAGGTAATGATATTGAGATTGGCCAATTTTTAGCAGCATTAAGACTCAGAGCTTCTAACGAGGGTATACCAGATAGAGCAATTTATGAAGATGTCTCTAGAAGGTAAATAAATATAATACTAAAAAATGTTGTGTAATTGTAGTTATATTAAAATTTAATTACATTGTTTTCAGATATCCCAATGCAGCAATAGATGTGTCAAGAGAACATGCCCTTAGAGCAATACGTTCGGCGTTCAGCGTAGATTTAGTCCGGAAGTACCAAACACTTTGAGGGCTTTGGGAGGGACTATTATGTCTTTAAGATGGCAAGGACGCCTCTTAAATGTATTTGGTGACATTAACAATGTCCCATTCTATCAAGGTAATATTGAATACCTCGATAATAATGAAGTTGTGTTTGGTGGTTTAGTATTTGCTAATGTGGCATTTCTTAACCACTATGCGCCCTATTTTCGCCAAGCTCGAGTTGTGGCAGTAGATGGGACATTTAGTGTTCTTCCTCGTTACCCAGTTGATATGGAGCAGTTTGTCACTATTCATGTGGTATTAGACAACATTGTAAATATTATTATGTTTAATAGCTGATTATTATTATAATTATATATATATTATTAATTATATCATACTTATAGTATGTTCCTGTATTGTATGTCATTTTAAACCGCAGAACAGAAAATGTATACATTCGGTTATGGCAATTTTTGAGAAGAGATTTGCCATTCAATATTTTTGGTTGGGAAAATGTACAAATTATTACAGATTTTGAAACCGCAATGCGTAATGCAGTAAGGAGAGTTTTACCTGAATGCAGACTAATCGGTTGTTGGTTTCATTTTTCCCAGGTATGTATACTATATCCTGTAAAATTTAACTTCATGATTAAAATTATTTCTACTATTGTGTACTTTTATATTTTAAATATATAAATTTACTTGATTACAGAGTATTGTACGGTTTAAGCGCGATTCACACTAGTACGACACGACACGGCACGAAACGATACGACAGACAAAAATCATGTTCAATTCACAAACGACCGACAAAAAACGACAGAAACGAACTCAGTTGATTCCAATTTTCGTGTCGAACTGTCGGAAATTGTTCTCAACATATTTCGAAATTTAAACTTTGAAGATTTGGCATTGATGGCGTTATTGCTCGACGCCGACGAAGAGGAAATTGACCGTGCGGTAGTCAAAAAACGATATTTATGGGTTCACGACATTTAAAAAAAGAGAAAAGTGGAAGGAGAACATGCAACTTTGTGTAAAGAGTTCGAAGACTATGAAAACAAATTTTTTAAATATTTTCGAATGTCAAAGTACCAATTTAATGTTCTACTTTTAAAAATTGAGAGTAATATTTCCAAACAAAATAGACACTTTCGAGAAGCAATACCTCCAAAACAAAAATTAGCTGTTTGCTTGAGATAAGGGAATATAATATTTATTAATATGCGCTATAGTCGGACGGCAGGTGGAGGGGACTCGGACGTCGGCAACGACACCCGACCTCGCCGCCGGCCGGGCCGACTGTCTTGTTCCGTACGCGTTACCGCGAGTTATCACCGCATGTTAATAAATAGTTTTGACGTATAATAAAAGTACTTAATACAATATACTAGTGTGTTGTTCTGTTGTTCGTGTCACCTTGGGCCTTTCCTCTACCACAACCAGTATACCGTGTCATCCTTAATTTTTTTTGCCTTGGTGAGGCTGATGTGTGCCATTCATTAGCATCTGGTAGGTATTGGTCATTCGGAATATTTAATTTATTTCTTTCTAAAGCTTTTCCTAAATTTGAATTCGAGAGAATTCCTCCATCACTATTTTTTCCGTATGCTCCTATATCGACAGCTAAAAATTTATATTGAGCGTCCACAAGAGCAAGTAATACTATCGAGAAGGTTTTTTTGTAGTTAAAGTAGAGTGATCCACTATTAGGAGGTGCCTCGATAACCACATGTTTTCCGTCCAATGCACCTATGAAATTGGGGAAATTCCAAATATCCCAAAATTCTTTCGCGATTCGCTTCCAATCTTCTTCACTAGGAATTGACAAATACTCCTCCTTTTATTTAGAGATTATTGCACTGCATACTTCCAGTACAATGGACTGCACTGTTGAGTGCCCCAATCTAAAACTGAAAGCAATCGATTGGTAAGAGTCACCTGTTCCTAAGAACCTAAACAAATACGTAATATAATATGTTAATTAATAAATTTATATAATTTATAATAAATTATAATAATTATTATAATAAATTTATAAATATGTATGTATTTTAGATTGTTTATTTTTGTGATAAAAATATTATATTCCCTTACCTCAAGCAAACAGCTAATTTTTGTTTTGGATGTATTGCTTCTCGAAAGTGTGTATTTTGTTTGGAAATATTACTCTCAATTTTTAAAAGTAGAACATTAATTGATGTTTACATGAAAGTGTAAACGATCTCTTTGATGAATGGCAGCTCCGATATGATACCCTGCCCAAGGGGAACTGGTCTAAAAAGATGATACCATCAGTAAGATATATGTACAATCTTCCGATGAAGCTGGATCACTACACGACCCAGTTCTTAACTGGCCATGGAGACTTCCGGGCGAAACTGCACAGCTTTAAACTCGTCCCAGACCCAATCTGCGAGTGTGACCGGAAACCAGAAACGGTCAACCATGTCCTTAGGTTCGGCCCACGGACGAAAAGTGCTCGCATAAGGCTTAAAAGTGCCCTCAGCGACGAAGGCGTTGCGTGGCCTCCGGCGGACGGGGCCTTCCTCAAAAATAAGGCTACATACGAGGCACTAGCAAGATTTGCAAGAGAAGCCCTTACTAACCGCACGAATAGATAAACGCCTCAAAATGATATGATTCCTCGTAAGAATTGAAAAGGGTTGCGAACCCGATGGGTCAGAACGCTGCCCCGTCTATGACGGAAGGCACAGTCTCGGGGTGTTCCCGATGAGCACGTAAGGCGTAAGTGGCAGAAACGGGGGAACACGCTCGAGCGCGTTCTGGCCCGGGACGTGCTCATACGTCTGGGACGAGGAGTTAGGCCCTGAGGTGGGGGCCTTGGAGAATTCTACCTCAGTATTCCCTGATTGTCGTACGAGGCGACTAAAAGGGAACTGGCCAGTCGGGGTCGGCGCCCGGGGCGCGGACGCACCGAAACCTTCCGGGACTAGGGCGTTGAGAGGTTCTGACCGCGACCTCGAGAAGAGCGGGTCGGTCACTGGACTTAGTCACCTGGTGAGGCCTCTGGGAGGCGTAGCTGGGCCCACCGTGAGCCCAAATCTCGGTAGGACCATAAGCTGAGGCTAGCCGCCGACGAAGCTTCGTCCGAGCATTCCACCAATGATGTGCTTCACCTAACGGGGAGCGAGAATGGTGCTTCGGGATGTGAGGGGGCCCCTCGGTGTTGAGAGATTAACACCGAGCCCTCACACGTCGGTCGTGGTGGACACTGCCTCGACCGACGGCGGATTGGTTTCGGAGTGGCAGTTTGCAGGAGCATACTATGTGGTAATAGACCACACGCTTGGTCAGGGGAAAGTTGCCGAGTGATGGTGCCGGGCGGACCCGTACGGCGACAGTCGGCCGAGAAAGCACGGTCCCTCCTTAGCTCACCCAGCTTATCGTTGGAGCTATATGCAGCGAAGGTTGTCCGTGACCAAAAACGGAAAGCAAAGTGGATAGATTGCGGCCTCACCAAGGTGGCGAAAGGCACCTGTATGCCCTAGCCGGATGGTACGGGCGCTCCGGGGCATTCCTCCGTGCGCGTCCGGTGCTCGTGGTCCTTAGACGACGTGCGGTCGCCAGTCTCCGGCGGTCCTCTGGCCATGCAACAGTGTGGGGAGGGTCCGTCGGTTGGCGGTCGTATGCCTCTACGGCCCTTGACTAGCACCTAGTGCTAATATAAGGTCCGTAGTTGTAGTCGGAAGACTGGCCGCAAGGCCTGTCGGATGACGTCAAACCCGGGAGCTTCGTGTTATATTTACGGATATGTTCTCTAAAATGTTTGGACTCATCATTTTCACCAACAAACAAATCAAATATTTCATTAGGCAAACGGCTCTCCGGTAAAGATATTTTGCCATTACCACAACATAAACTGAAATACCCTCTAGTCGTTTTTTCACATTCAAAGTGAAACGAATGACAATGCTCGCATTTAAATGTTAAATTACCCAAATTATAGGGAGTAACGTGAACTATATTATGTGATAAAGCGCATTTATAAAATAATTTAAACAATAATACAGTGATTCCTGGTTTCTTTATGTTTTTTTCTTTCTCGTATACCAGTTACAGAATGTGTTTTACGCTTACTATTAGTGTTTGCAGTTATTTCTTTAGGTAGGATAAATGAATTTTGAATATTCATATTATTACCAAAAACTAAAACACTATAATTTTCTGGGTCAACATTGCCAGATAAAAATAAATTCACATTGTAACACCAGAACCATAATCTACAAATTCATTAAGATCATTAGATCTATACACACGAAATGTATGATTTGAATAAAGTCGACTAATGCATTCAAGTTCGACGTGACCAACATACTCGCCATCTGGGCTCATCAACTGTTCGTAATCATTAGAATTATAAATAGGTAGTCTATACGAAAGATCACCAATGACAAATTCTTTGTACACACTGGTCCACTAGCTGATGGTGTGCCACATTGGTCAGCGCTTGGGGCGCCACCTCTAAACCTCAGTGTTAAACTGCTGGTTAAGTCATAACCTGCAGAGTCGAGAATAGTTACTAATACCGTCTTTTTAGAGTTTACACCCGAGGGTGAGTCAGATATGTTGTCAGGTCTTAAGTCAGAATATTCGCCAGTAGGCTCGTCAACCTGGCCGCTCAGCTCAGGTCGCGGGACGAATGCGGCTGGACCCCCCCCCCAAAAAAAAAAAAAAAATCCGTGGGTCCGTGCATCCGCAGAGGGTGAATTTGCCGAAGTTGCCGGATTATCACTTGGGGTAATTATGTTTTGTGTCGCATTCATCTTTGGTTTGGCCGGGTGTCCTTCCCTGCGTTTTAGACCTACCGCCAGGCTTGGCCCTGATCCCTCTGGCTCACGTCGGGCTAATCGTAAGTTGCATCCTGGATCAGCCTGGTCAGGGTCTGTCCATTCCGTCCTTGTCCTACCGCCTACGACTGGAGTTGCCAACCTCCGGAAGTTCGACCCGCACCGGACCGCAGATGGTTAAGTCCACAGCCCGGCCTGAACGCCAGTGAACTGGTATATGTCCTGGGCGTTCGCCCCAGTTATGATTTGTTGCCTGTACTTCCGTCTGCTACAACCCTCAGACCCTGAGGCCGGGTTACGCCCGCGACGCCTGCCAGACAAAGGACACTGCAGTCTTTTGCGGGTTGCTTCCTGCCCAAAGTATAGGCACGCCGCTCACGAGCGCGCGACTTGGAGCCACGTAACAGCTCACGTCGGACGGCTGAGCGGGGTCACTACGATAAGGTGGGTTTTCGTCGACCCCGAACACAACAGTTACAGTGCACAATGCGTCAATGGCAAATAATACATCGCTGCCGACGCGTGACGACGACACTACGACAGTACTGCAGCAGAAGTAGGAGTATTGGGGGTTCTAAAAATGTGTGTGATTGCATGGCAAGCAACGCGCATCGCTATGTAACAATATGGCAAACTTTATGCTTCTAATATCTATTTGAATAATTATTTTTTTGGTCTTTTCTCTTTTGATGGCTCATCTACACACCGAGTACTTTCGTTTAAAAAAAAAAACCGTGAAAATCGGCCCATTAGAACTTCAGATATAATTGTCACAAGAAATCGCCTCACGTTTTAATAATATATAAAGATAATTATCTATTTCGAGTGTAAGGATTGTTTGTTTTTAAAATGATGTTGCTTAAGAGGAAAGAATCGTCTATTTTATTATTAAGGAGTTTGAATAAGAAGGTATACAATTAGTTTTTTCTATCCTTTAATGTTTTTAAATTTAAAAAGTTTAGAATATTTTCATATCCAGAATGAGGTGGTCTGTGTAGATTGCATTTAAAGCAGATAAAACGAAGAATATTATTTTGAATTTTTTCTAATTGTTCGCTATGGCCTATGTTAAATGTTTCCCAAATGATTGTCGCATATTCAAATACAGGACGAACAATTGATGTATATAGGCATTTTAGTGTAAATGGGTCATTAAAGCTAGAAGAATTTCGTTTAATCATGCCAATTAAAGACAGAGCTTTTTTTTTTACAGCTAATATATGGAGATTAAAAAATTGTTTAGAATCAAAGATTAATCCGAGATCTTTAACTTGAATTGAACGAAAAAAATTTTAGTTAGAGGACATGTATTCATGGAAAATTAAATTATATTTTTTTGGAAAAAGTGATACACTGACATTTATGAATGTTAAGTTACATACCCTTTGAGGTGCACCAATTTTGAAAATCTATTAAAACATATTGCATAATTCAGCATCAGCAGTATTGCTTATACATTTGAAAATGTTTGCGTTATTAGCTAATAGAAGAATATTTTAATATTCAACAGAGGAGACAATATCGTTAATGAATAAATGGAACAGTAACGGGGAAAGGTGATCTCCTTGTGGGACTCCAGATAACACTGAACTGGATTGGAAATAAAATTTTGTATTTTACAAATTGGATTCTTTTAGTTAGGACCAATTCAACCATGATAAAATAGGGCTGACGAAACCTATTATTTTAAGTTTATGTATTAAAAGTTCATGGTTAATTCTATCAAAAGCCTTCTCAAATTCTGTATATATAACGTCAGTCTGTTGATAATTAGAAAAAGAATTAAGAATGAATTATTAAATAGATATTTGGTTGATATTGTTAGATTTGTTGTTGCGGAAACCAAGTTGCTGTGGACTTAAAATATTTTTGGAGAGAGGCGTGAGTTTGGCATTAACGATTTTATAGAATAATTTCGGGAGAATAGATATCAAAGATATAGAACGATAGTTAGAAATTAGTGATTTATTCCCTTTTTTGAGAATTGGGGTTATGAATGTAGATTTCCACAAAGAGGGGAAACAACTATTATTTAAGGAGGCGTTAAATAGATACATAATACTATAATAGGATACTAAGGACAAATTTACACATTCGTAAAAATATAGGTGAGAGCCCATCAGATACCTGTTTTATTTTTTAAGTTTTCTTATTCAGTAAAAACATCAATTAGGTTAATTTGGCAAATGTTGATAGAGTCTGGTGATTCAATTTTTGGAGAATTATTTGAAGTGATGGGGATATTTTATTTTATATAAGTAGATGCAAAATAATGACTAAAAAGATTAACGATGTTTTGACAAAATATTCAAAAATATGCACTTTTAATTTTTTTATTTAAGCTTGTCATTGTATAGAATGGATTTCTAGCTTGGTCTGCTATAAATTAAGGGCATCCAGAAATATATGCAACTCCTACAACTTCCGAGCCCTAGTGATTACTGATTATGCATAACTTCATAATTGTATAAATATAATCAATGATAAAATATGTAATCGTATTAACTAGGTATTAACCCATGATGATGCAGTTGCAAACTTGCACTTGCAATACACTGGCCACGATGTTCATGTACAAAGTGTTACCCCTACAACTCCATACTATGAACACCCCCCCCCCCCCCCCCACAATATAATGGTGTTGCTTGAGAAACTCTTGACCATAGGATAGCCGCCACTGCTAGCTGGTGTATTTTATTATAATTATTATACATAATTAATGGATTTATGTGAATTAATTGCAAGAATTGTACCAACTATGTGTGTATGTTTTTTATGTTTTACAGTGGGAAGTTGGTTATTTTGATAAGGAGAACAAATATTCTGTTATACCTAATAATTGGTTGATAGAATGTGGGAATACATACTTTTGCAAATGGCCTAAAAATGGAAATATTTCCAAAATGAAATCATCTTTTGAGGAACCTGAAAAATATTTGCCAACGTTCCCAGTTAAAACTATCACACAGTCTTTTAGTAAGTATTAATTAATAAAATATTGAGTAACTTCAGCTTTTTTTATAATCTTAATTAAAAATAACTTTAACTCCAGGAAGATGAAAATAAAAATGTGTAGCTTAGGTAGATACAACAATAAATAGGTATTACAATCATAACTTGTATGACCCATTAATACAAAAATGAATTGCAAAAACCAAATTTAAAAATATGATACAATTAACAAATTATATCCTAATGATGACGGATGTATCTAATTTACAATTCTTTGATACTTATGAAGAAGCCGCTATTAAGGAAAAAGAGGTTTTTATATTGGCAACAACATCTGAATCTGAAAACATTGAAATATTAAAAGAACAGACAAAAAAGAGAAAGAACATAGAAAAAAATATTTTTGGCGATAATAGCTGCAGATATTGTACCCATAATATTTTAACATTATAATTTGTATTATAAACTTTTAGTTTTAGACTTTTAGTAATCTATTTTATATAAGTAGTGTTTTATTTTATTTCAATTATGTAACTTGTTAGACCTGATATTTTTTTTATATTCAATGTTATAGCATGCAGCAGTACTCAACTCCTACATATGAAAATTTTGAAAGTAACCAACAATTGTGCTTCAACTTTAGGTAATGCTGCTTCTTTTGAAACTTCCGAGAAAACTCAAACGACAAACTCTCCTGCAATAGAGTCACGAGTGTTTACGTGTAATTATTTAATTATATTTTTATTTTTTTCATTGATACTAAAATTAAGGTTTATTTTTTTAAGCTGCTTTTACTTCAGTCTATGATTTGAGCCCTATACATTTGACAAGAACCATAATGTGATACCAAACACTACAAGTTATAATGACATGATGCCAAGCGATGAATGTCTTGTGTGCACGCCCAGAGATCGGACGAAACACAAAGCCGAAGGACCACTCGACGAGTAGAGTCGAGACCAAAATGTAGATGTTAATGGAACGGATACAATATCAATATATGTTGCCTTGTAATAATTTGGGTAGGCAACCTAATACACACAACGGCGAATTTCCTCAGTATAGGTATAGGTGTGATATTGGCGGAAACAGGATGATACAGTTTAGCTATGGGGGGGGGGAGTCTCTGCGGTCGATTCGGTTTGGTGCAATGACCACAGAGCTCACATGAATTGGTTTAAAAACTTAAGATTAACTTAAAACTAAGGCAGACGGCTATACTGGTCCCTCTGGTCGACTCGACGCACTGGAACACCGGAGGCGGCCTCTCACACCACTCGAGTGAGTGGCTGGCGGACTTACGCAAGACAACTCGCTGGAGGCTGATCTGGGCGCCCGTGGGGGCCTCTCACACCACTCGATTGAATGGCTGGCGGACTTACGCAAGACGTCTGTCACCAACTCCAAGGTTGGACAGTTTCCAGCAACCAGTCGAATATTAATATTTAATTTAAGAAGAACTCACGGATATGCTGGTAACGATGAATATTTTATTGTTGAACAATATACAGTTGCGTTGTCCGTTACAATAAAGGACGAACGGAGATCACACTAACGATTTAACAAACAATATAATAATAATTTTCGGATCACAATGATCCGACGATGCTCTGGTTACAAGAATAACAATAACACTAGCAATAATAATCCACACAATTGTGGATATGTAACACCAAAAAAGAGGTTTATAATATAGAAAAAATAGCAAAAAAACACAAAAACTTTACGTGTTTTTTGTACGAGCGATATAATAAGAGAGTGTGTGTAACAAAAGGGCATTGGCCGCAATAATAAGATATCACGAAAATCAAAACAAAAAAACCATGGATATTTACTAATGAGTAATTGAACTGTCTCAAATGCATAATTATTTTTTCAACTCCTAAAATAAAATAAAGAAAACTAATATTTTTTAAATGGTTATTCATTCATTACCTATTTATTAATTATTTTATTAAGCTAGTAGAATACCTAAGATACTATTTTAAATAATATTATTTTGTTTTATATTACCTTTAATTTTTTTACCTGATGATATAACTTCAAGTAGGTATAACTTTGAATCGTACTATGATATTTTTATCAACACCGGTTATAGAAGATGATACGTCTGGATTAGAAAAAAATCGTCTGGCCGTGTTACCATCATTAGTCATGCCACTTCCTTCAGGACGATGTTGATCAATCAACAGACCCATTTCTTGTCTAAACTTAGTTTGTATTTCCCTT